CCCCAGTCTAGGCTGCACCTTTCCCTCACTCCCCGTTCAGTTCAGGACCCATTGGTAAGGGCTGGTTGGTGTAGATTCATTTAGTGGCAACGCTGAAGGCCTGGAGAGAAGGGCAGTTGCACCACCATGGACAAGAAATAACATAAAGCTTGATGGTATGGATGATCCTGCTCCAAAAATCCTTTTAACACTCTTCCAGTAAAGTTTCTTTTCCAAATCCAGAGTGCCAAGCTAGTGTTTCCTGGATCTGGGGCTTTATAGGAGGTTTTCAGCTTACAAAGCACTGGATGTTTTCTGTCGCGTCAGGCCATGAGAAATTTCTGTCGTGTACTCATTTCTCAAATTAAGTGCATAAAAAGATGGTGCAGGCAGCCAAGTCTCACACAGTTCCGGCCATGTACTGCCAATTCTTTATACGCTGCCACTGACCGATGCAACTGGCAGCCAAAAGTGGCTGCTAAATCCAGCAGCCTCCTCCGGAGGTGGTGCATGATGTGCAGATGCAGAACGTCCCTCCTCCCTGTGTACCACTGGCCAGAGACTTCCCAGCCTGGCCCCCAAATTCCTGATCCTGATCCCCCCGTGCTACACCAATAGCGGTGAAACAGGTCTTTCCATTTCCTCAAGACAGTCTCTCCCCACCCTTGGTTCCCCCAGTTCTTGTGGACTCCTTCCAAAAAATAAACCCTTTTTCAGGGAATTTAGTGATAAAAATCGGGGTTAACAGCAGCTCTGTCCTTCTAGCTCTTTGTGCATTATTATTCACTGCACCTTTGGATGTATCTTAGCAAGAATGTTATTTAGGAAATCAACCATCACCTGGAACAATATCCTACATAAACCCTCTAATTGCATCAGTGATCTCTGCCCATCCTCTTTTGGTTCTTCAGGGAGCTCTTTGGTCTTTTCCAGGTTTTCCATGTCAGTCCTGTGCTTACTTGCTATGACCAAATTGCACATAAATTCTTGAAGTGTTTGCAGATAACTTTTTCTCTTTTTCTTTTTAGTTTTTACTTATAGCATGAGTTTTCACTAAGGATTTTCCCAAAACCTCAGAACTAAAATTCTTTTTACGTGTGCACAGTACTTTGCTCTGAACAATATCTCCGCATGCAATTAAATACCCCTGATTCTGTACATTTTATAAATAAAACCTCTAAAAAACTTATATTTAGATTACAATGATCTCTTGGGCATGAACTGTCTTTCCAGTCTCTATTTATGAAGCACACAACACAACAGTAACAATAAAGCAATGTCATCTGGTTGCATTCAGACAGTAAAGATCTATCAAGAGCTATATCTGGATATCCTCTTTTCATCAGCGGCACGAAAAGAAAAATTTCCTTGAAATTTCTTACTTGAAAAAAAAAATTAGACTTCTAACAAAGAGAAGTATTACTGGGAAATTTCACTTTTATTTGTTTTGTTGTTTTCATTGGGAAACTGGGCACTTTAAATATCTTGCAAAAAGTTCAGTTCAAACAAAACACAGGGATTTGGCATGTTGAGGTAAAAAAGCCTACTTTTTGGTTTCAGCCCAGAACTACCAACAACAGAGGATGTTTTTTAATTAAAAATCAAAATTTCCTCTAGCTATTCTTTTGTTTTTCAGTAAAAACTGCAGAACATTTTCTTGCCAACTCTAGCACAAATAACCTCTCTTCTGGTTTTGACAACTTCCTTGGGATTATGTTGCTCTATTTCAAGCTCTTCCTTGTTTTCTCTCCTCTACCTTAATGCCAGCGTTGGCACCGAAGCTTCCCTTAATGATGACATATGTTCCTCACTCATTCAGAATATGATCTAACTCTTTATATAGAGCATCTGTTTATTTATCTGTGGGACATGTGGCTAGAACATAAACTTGAACGAGCTGTGGGAAAGGCCAATTTTAAATATGAAAATAGACTAACATTGGTGTACTTACAGACACTCGCAGCTCCCTAATTTGATTACTAGTCACAGAAAATGCTTAGACATTCTCATGACAATTAGTATAAACATTGTTCTTTCCATTGGAAAAAAATATTATCATAGCTGGACAAATAAACTGACCCAACTTGAAAATTAATGTCATTTCATTGCCTTTGAAGGCATAATTCAGTGGCGGTGCTTAATATTCTCAGCTGTCATCAACCATGCAGTAATTAGTTTCAGTTCTAATGAATATTTATTTATATGAACAAGGTATAAGCATTGCAAATATCATATGTATTTGACCACAGTTTATGATGATGATATTGTATGATTGCATGTATGTATTCGTTATTATTACATGAATATTTCATAGATCAGTGTGAAATGTAATTACACCCCAGTGTGTTTGCTTAATGTCAATGTCAACAGTTTGATCGAGATTAGCATAAGAACAAGTCGTTTTCTCAATACAGATCCAAGTTTCTCATCTCTGGTGTAGGGAGCAAGATTTTGGGTATTGTAAATAACGGTGAGGTGCTCATGGTACTTTCCCACACCTTGAATTGCCTGGTAGAAAACTCGTCCTCAACTCAAATGCAAACATAGGAGAGGGGGGAAAATCGTGTTTCATTTCCTTGAATGTTTAACCCTAAAATAATCAAAGATACAGAGCATTTAGTTATTGAGTGTGTTGTAAAGATCTGTGATCCATTTAAAGCCATTTATCCATCATTCTTGCTAGTTTCAGGAAGAGTCCTAAATACAATCAATCTTTGTTTCCTGTTGTATCCTGCCGTCAGTAAGAATAACATATTGTTTCATCGCATGCTAATACCTAAACTCTGTATTACATCAGTTGTTCAAAAATTTCCCACTTGCCTGAAATGTTGGAAGTTCTCTGTAATCACAAATATCCCCTAAAAATGAAAGATCAGAGAGAAAATAAAGCACTGCTTTCTATTTTTGTCGGTGTTTACTCTGTTCCGTTGTTCGCATGTCATGCACGAAGCCATTTCAGTTTCCTCTGTCGAGACAGTTTCTCTTGCAGTTTCAATGTCTTTCTCACAGAGCACGACAGAAGAGAAAACATGTTTTAAAAATAGGAAAATGTGATTGTGAAACCACAAACTTGTGTTTTGTACAGAGAAGAGGTGAAGATGGTCAGAGAGCTACTGCACAGAAACCCCTTTAATCTAAGTCTTGAATTGACAAAGTCTTACTAAAGATGAAACTCCTCACTTTTATACTCATACCAGCCTTGGTATCAGAACCTGTGTACATTTGCGCGTAGGAGATGGTTTCTCAATATTATTCAACTACATAATTTCCCTTTTTTCTTTTGATTCCCCTTTTTCAGCACCTTTCATTTGCTAGTACTGCTGCCCCAAATTGTTGATCCTTTCTGAAATACTTCTGGCTGAGATCCTAAATTATGGAGATTTCGCTTGACTGATCCATCAGCACTGAAATGTCACAGCAGCTCTGGGGGACTCGTCTCAGGTCCATTGGTGGCTTGGTCTGTTTCGACGTTGCTCAGTGTTTGAAGGGGTTTTGTAATGTTGATGGGATGGAAGGGAGTGCAAGGTGGGAAAAACCCTTTCCATGGACAGGCTCACAGACAACTTGTTTTTCTGATCCTCTGAATTGTGAAGCGTGTGCTGACATTTTCTACAAGTTGCTCTTGACAATCTCTGTATGATGTATATGAGTTTGCTTAGAACTTGACATTTCCTTGCCTTCCCCGTGTATAAGGCAGAACCTCATGTGTCTGCAAGGGGCATATTCTCACCACCAAAATCTGTAAGTGCTGCTCCCAGTCCCATTCCCCTGTGTATTATGGACCCAGACAAGACGTAGATTTCATGAGAAGTGGGTTGCAGAGGTATAGAAAGGGCATCTCAGGTTTGGGGTGCTGATAAACCTGTGGTGGGAGTCATCTGATGGTCAGAAATCTCTTTTGAGGTTGTGAGTGTTGTGCCCTCTTAGAAGAACTGATGTATTTTTGTTGATTTTAGGAAATGATTTTGTATGGAAAAGTTCTGAAAAAGGAGGCAGGATTTATGGTTTATGATACTGAGATTGTTCCCAGGTATTTAGACCGAAACCACCAGCCAAGGTGACAGTGTGCACAGTTTGTCACAAGATAATGTGCACAGAGCCTGGCACAGGCTTTGTAACACACTGAGTTACGGTAAGAGAGTGCCCAGACCCAGTGTCTCTGATATTTCTCTGTAAAAGGCCACCAGGTACCAAAGCCTTGAAGAATGCTTGGCAGAGGGGTGACAAGAGCCACAGGTTTTCCAGGCACTGCTGACTTTGGGATTGTGTAGCACTCCATGTTTCATCTCACGTGGGCTGTTTTTCTTGGTGTACCAGGCTGATTTCAGCACTTTGCTACCTTGACTCTATCAGCCATTCCCACAACTGCTGCATAGCCAGCACCATTGTAATTTCAGCTGCTAAGCCTTTGGCTCTTCTTGGTTTTAATCTTCCTATCCATTTTCCTGTTAAATCACAAAGGTCCATCCATATGAAGAACAGTCCTTTTATCCTTGTGCTGCTGCTTGTTCTGCAGCTGAATCTTCCCCTGGTGCTCCCCTGGTGCTTTGTGTCTAAGGCACAACATGCAATGCAACGTGCTCCCTCCTTATTAATATAGATTGATGTTGAAAGGAGTGTTGGATGTAAGATTTTAATCAACAAACTGCAGCAAGTTTACGAGCATTATATATCTCTCTTAATTTGGCCAGCGATGAAAATACGGTTGGCAGGAGGAAAAAAGAAAACTTCTCTCTCACCAATCTACTTTCCAACATGAAAAAAAAAAAAAAAGATTTTGAATAAAGTGGCAATATGGATGCATTTGGAACTGCGAAATGTGATTCTTAATTGCTCGTGATTGTCTCTCCAACAACTGGTAGGTTAACCACGGCAGGCTGACAGCCTGCACTAACTGACAATCAATATTGTTGAAACGCAGAACCTTTGCCTGGAAGACACAAAAACATTTCATTTTCAAACACTACAGGACATCTGCTTCTGGAGAGAAAAAGTTGCTTCTTCTCGGCAATATGCACTGACTTGTAACTTATTTTTTCTCCTTGCTCTGAGGAAACAAAAGTCTTCTTTATACCATATCCTTTCCACTAATCTGGCAGCTATCCAGTGTGGGTTTAAACAGATGTTCTGGAAAAAAATATGGCATATACAAATGAGATGGAATCCAGCAACTCAGTCATGGATTATTACAGATATAAAATGCAAAGGGCTGAATTCTTCCCAGATTCACATTTTGTATGATATTTGGCACTAGATGTAAGAACAGCACACAAACAAATCATTAATACCCTCATTATAATAATTATTATATATTTAGCACAAAGACCCCAGGCTGGCTCAAACCCTTCATGTTAAATACTGTACAGATGCATGTTCAGGCTGAGGAGTTTATTCAAAGGGCTGCTTGCACCAAAGACTTAGATATGTAAGTAACTTTCCTTGTGCATGTTTACAGGATTAAGCACCACATGTGATTATATTATTGGCAACAACGGGCATTTCTTACTTTCCATGCTGCAGCCTTTGAATAAATCACACAATAATGAACAATTTGATGTTAAAGGGAAAGAATTTGAGTCTTGCTGTGTCTAAGGCTACTAAGCCTTAGGGCTGCCACAGGGTTAGAGATTTAGTGGTAGAAATTGTATGGACACACTCTTCATAAATATATATTATACACAAGGCAATGAAACTGATAAATTTATCTTTTTAAATGCTGAAATGTATCATACAGTCTCCTAATGTGAAGGGCAACCAGCTAAGCCCTGAGCTCTGGTAACACTCCTGGGAGGACCTGTAAAAGCAGCTGGGAAGGAGAACTTGAACCATGGGGTGGGAATGAGGGATGCTGGCAACTTTGGGAAAGGCACAGACAAAGAAATTGCTTTCAGCTTTTACTGATCTTGTAGACAGAATATGGCCTGATGGACAGAATAACATCTAAGTGTGAGTGTAATCTCATGGGCCATGGAGACCCTGTTCTAAATCCTTGTCTCCCATATTCAGTCGGAGCTCCTGGTGGCTGGGACTGTGCCTACAATAACCTGCTTTTCTCCAAAGCTTTTATTTTTAACTTTTCCCACTTTTCATCCTCCCTCACTGATTTTCATCTGAATTTGAAATGAATTTGCTTCGGGCAGCTCTGGTGTCCTTTCAGCTAAATGTGTGCTCCCAAAAAAACAACCCCCCCACTTTGAATAGCCCTGAGAATGTACAGCAACTAAGCCCAATACTTAACGGTAACAAACTGAAAAACATTACTTTATTTGAGCAGTCACAAAGGACACTTGGTAACTTGATAAATAATTCTGTTTCCTATTATTGTTATTGCTGAACAAAATGAAATGAAAGATGTTGGTGTGATGCCAGGGTGAGAAGTAGGAGGGATTCACTTGTCCCCATTTTCCTGACTGCTTTTTCTTTTCAGTCTCTAACTTCTCATCATTTCACCAACTTCAAAAAAGTCACAGGGAAATGAAAGTACAGAAAACTCTAACTTTTCTACTCTTGTACTTTTTGAAATGAGAGCTCACTTGATGGGTTGCAATGGAAGAGTAATGAAAAAATGTAAATGGGGAAGACAAAGAACTGGGCAAGTTTTTTTCTCTCTAGAGACAAGGTGAAACACTGAACATCAGAACTTTGTGAAATACAAAGATATCAGTAAATTACCATCTAAGAAACATCCCAAACACAACTGGAAAAACTCCTGCATTTGAAACACTGTGAAAGAGAAATAACCTCCACTTTTCCTTCCAGGAGTGTGACAAGTCTGTTCTGCCCTTTCCCCACTGCTGCCTGTTGCTGCTCGAGCAATTGCAAGAGCAGCACTGCTTGATGCCAGTGCCCTGTGCCAGGGGCAGATGTTCTGGCACTTTCCCAGATGTTCTGGGAAAGCAGAGGTGCTGGCACTGCCCAGGCCAGCGTGCGTCACTGCTTGCACCCTCCCTGATATGCACAACCCTCCCAGGTTCCCCATGTACTTGATGCCTCTGCAGAAATGCCTGGTGAACAGCCATACAGAGATGGTTTCAATATACATTCTTGGGCAATTTTAACAAATTTAGCTGCAGAAGAAGGAGCTGAATTGAACATTTAGGCTGACTGCTGCAAACTGCCTGGTTCTGGTTACAAGCTCAAGAAATCGAGTGCAATAACATGCAAAGCCTAGTGTATCCTATCTAAGCCAGAGAGCAAGTCAGGCTTAGTGGGTTATTTCATGATATTTGACTCTCCTTCTATATGAATAACATCTGCAAATATGCCGAGTCTCTTTGGAATTGTTTTTGGTTTAAAAGAATTTGTTATTCGGGGCATTTCAATCAGTCACTCCCTGCCTCGCTGTTTTGGCTGGTCACAGTGTCACGTTTGAGCCTTCCCATCCCCTGCCTCAAGAAATATCATCCTCCTAATAATCAGGTGTTTGTTATGGAAGCCTCCAAAGACAACAGGAGAGAGCCCTGATACTATAAGCCTACTGCTGGGGGTTAGAAATGAGGAGGATGCTAAAGCAGGGAAAAAAAGACAAAATTAAATAAAGAAAAAGATTTGATTTCCGAAACTCCACTGGCTACATTGAGATATCTCAGCAGCAGCCAGCTCAGTGTTGTCAGGCTAGTTCACACGTGCATCCTACCCCATGTTGGTGCATCCACATGGCTGCTGTGGCAAGGCCAGTGACACTGGCAGCTTTAAGCCTTCCAGCTGTACCAAAGGCTCTTCCTGAACAGTGATGTCTGGTCGTTCTACGAAGAAGCTCAGGCAGAGCTGTTTGCCTTTTTCCCACCAGTTAAGCCACAGGATGGAATGAGGAGGACGATGCTAGAAAAATTGGTGGCCACCACACCTGACCTCCATCATCTCCATCACACATCTAGAAGGCTTCTGCAACTGCCACCCATAGCAGAGCAAAAGCAGACTTTCTCCCTTGTCTCAAGAGAATAATATAAAAAGGCCACCCTAGGGCAGACCAGAGGTACGCCAAGTCTAGTGTCTTCTCTTCAACAAAGAACAGCAGTGATGTGGAGGGATGAATGTAGGAACGTGGTAGGGAATCAGTGATGCTTCCCCAGAACATTCTTCATGCTGTCAACACCGTGACTTTCTAAGCCCATATCAGTGCATTGCATTTAATGCCTTCTGGTGAATTCACTGACCATGAAATTTTCTCACGGTACTCCAAACCCTTGCAGTCTTGGCATCCTGAAGATGCTGTACCAAGGAGATGCACATTTTAACTGCAATCTCATAAAGAATCACCCTCTTTAATTCACCATAAACCTGCAGTCTTTCTGAGTTTATCTGCTGTTCCTGGTTCTTATCCTGGAAGAAAGAGGGGAAGGACAGATCTTCCCATAATGATCTGATTCTGCAGGCTCCTGCCATCCCTCCCTGACTCACCTCTCACTGAGGCTGCAAGAGTTGCCCCTCTGCAACCACCCTGAGGCTACATGAACATGTCCATTAACCTGGACAGGAAGTTTGGGATCGGGAATGGTCTCCAACACAAGCTCAAAGACAGTCTCCTGTCTGGTAAGACCTTAAGCCTCATCCAGGCAGTGTGGTTTAATTCATCAGTGCCTGCAAGGAGTGCAGGTGTCCAAGTGCCAGGCACCACAGGAGTGCCAGCAGCATGGTAGCAGATGGAGTAGACAGTACCTCGGCCTCTGGATTTGTTTAGACAGTGTTTTGTAATAGTAATTTTTCCACAATTTGCCCAACCTCACCTCCTCTTTCCTTCCAGACTTTCAGGTAAGCAACCCTAAAAGCAGCTCCAGAAGTGGCCAGGGGCTAAAGAAGAAAGTCCCATAAAGGACATCTGGGCAGGGAGAGGTGGGAGGGAGACACATGCCCGTTGCACCGTCACCAGCCTGCCTGAAAAGAGAACTAATATCATTTGTGTGGGATTTTCCTCCCCCTCCCGCAGATCAAAAGGACAGCAGCAATGCAATCTGCTGTTTGTGTAGGAAATGTGTCAGAAGAAGGAAGGAGGGGATACACATGGGAACATCTGCTCTCAGAAGCCACTTGAAAATTAACCATTTAGGTCCTGAACCAGGGAGCACCTGCCTAGAGTTAAGCCCCAATGACACTGGAGCCAGGCACATTCATGGCATCTTCTGCAAAGTCCTGGAGAAGGATAAGTGTGATGAGGAATTCTTCCTCAGACTGGGCTTATGTAGGCAAAGGGGAGCCCTTCGTGGTGCTGCTGGACAGGTACATGCAAGGGTCACTTTGATGGCTGTGCTGAAGATGTGGGAAGAGTTGTGGCTGGACAGAGTTATGCATCTCCATCCAGGCACACCTGGACAAGTGCAAGGTTTGCAACTTGGCTCCCTGAGTCATTGGTACCAAGAACAGGGAACATTTTATCTCATTTGTATATCAGGCCTTAAGCATCTAAACCCTCCCTTCTATTGCTCTGCTCACTGCTCTCTCCCTCTTTCTGCATCAACTGGACCTGGCAACCCACAGCTTAAGAACCCATTGTAGAAAGTTAAAGGTGGGAGCAGCACATCCTGGGATTTCTTCTGTCTGTGACTATTACGGGTGCCCTGGTCACTCACAGCCAGGCCTCGTGACCTTTGCACAAAAACTTGTCACTAGAATAAAGTATGTGCTGACCTGGCTTTGTAACACCAACACATGTAAAGATAAGTACTGCAGAGAAGCAGAAAAGAAAAAAAAAAAAAAAGGGAAAGGTTGCATTCTTTCTTCCTCCTGCGTATAAAATTAAAAATCTCACACCGTCCCAGTGCAGCGGAGTTGAGCACAAAAGGGAAAAAACAGCCCCGTGTTGTTCTAGGCCGGGCGCCAAAACAACTTGTGTGAGTTTGTGCTGGCAGCCGTGTTCTCCGGCGGAGGGTCCGTGCTCGGCCGCCGCACAGAGCCACAACCACCGACCCTGCCTCCCAGGTCACTGAGTCACCTTCCTGCCAGCCCCCCGCCACCCTGAACCTCCTGTGCACTCAGGCAAACGTTGCTTTTTTTGTGTGTGTGTTTGTTTATTTATTCGGTGCGTCCCGTAAGACATGTCCCATGATTGTCATTTACTACCCAGGGTGGCATACGAGAGACTGCTGCCTCTGTGAAAAAACATCAACCTTAACCCAGTCTTGGATGCGGTCCAACAAATCCTTTACCCACAGAAATACTTTTACACAAGTATTTAAGTCAACAGGATTCCTTGCATGAGTAAGGGATTGTGGGATTTAGCCTTTACCCATCTTATTTTTCCAGTAAATAAAAGGTACTTTTTTCAGCCTCTCTAGTGAACTTCACCATTTTTATCCTTTTGCTGTTCTTTGGGTTTTGCCCATTCCCCGAGAGTTCCCCGTGACTTCAAATATCATTTACCTTGCAATTCCTTTCTTTCCGATCTCTGCTCTATATAAATTTCTCCACTTTTGCCCACTTTATTAGTAGACATGAGTTAAATGGGCAATCTGATCTCCAAGTTAGCGGAGAGAGATTGTTTGGATTTCAGCTTCTTCATCAAAGCCGATCAGCTCACTATTGATTCCACCTCAAATGCAGTGATGGAAGAGCTAGGAGAATTCAGATGTAACTCCCAATAACCAAAAAAACCCCAATTCCTCTTTTTTACAAATTATTACTATAACCAAATTAAAAGGACCTATGCTTTCCTTTTCTTTTCCTGCCTTCTTACAAGTCTGGTCTAAACACATGTAATCACAAATCCTCCCCCATATTCATCCCTAAGATGCAGCAGAGAGGCTGAGAATATCCCAATTACAAAGGTGTAGTTTGAACGTTGCTCTGGACTTGAGCTGGAGGCTATCTCTGCTTTACTTGGCTGAAAATAAATACTTAGCCTTTTGGACTATGGAATCAAAGGCAGGCACAAGCAGCAGCATATCAGTCCGTGTACGCTGCTGGCTACAGAAAGCTCAGGTCCTACAGTCACCCCAGCCCAGTGGTCCATTTAGGCACATCATCAAGCCTGGGTCTTGCAGGTCAGACAAATTAAAGGAAGGTGTAAAAAACACGGGATTTTCGCCAATTGCTACTTTTTCTGCAACTCTCCCAGTCCCTTTAGTTTTAGTTTGGCCCCTTGTTATCTGCAAAGGAGTATTTCCTCATCATCCCAGCTTCTGCAAAACTTCTTTGAGTACCAAAGGGAAAACACTTGTCACCAGCACCACAGTGCTCCATTCATCCCATCCTACTTTGACCAGGTGACATCCTACCAGTAACACCTGCAGGTCTCCCCAGCAGGTGATTACCATTCCAGGTTGTTCCTTTCACTTATTAACTCTTATGGGCTGACCTCCAGTTAAGTGTAGTGCTGAGTCTCTTCTGGTGAACCCGGTGGCACTTGATAAATAGCAAAAGACTTTTGCCACCGGGTTCACCAGATGAGACTGACACTTTGTAAAAGCATTGGGAGTACATCTTAATGAGCTGGGTTTTCTTCCCAAGGTTTTGTACATTTTCTGCCACCTCTACCATCCCACTCTGTTTCCAAGAGCAAATTACTGAAAACTTTCTCCGCTCTGGGTGCAGGTGGAGCTCAGGCTCATCACTGTGTTGCAAGAGGAACTCAGTAACGTGATAACCCGTATCTCAAACTACAGCCTGAACTTCCCGATCCTGTGAAGTCTGTTGCTTTGTTGTGAAGCCATGATGCAGGAGCAAAGTGTTGAGTACACAAGTACAGGCTCTGAAATAAAAACTCTTCCACAGGCAGGGATCTACCTGTAGGTAAATTCAAACCTACTCAGGTTTCAGGGAGTCTGTTCCCCCTCACTGCACCTTCACCTGGGTACTAAGTGCTTGTCTTCCCATAGACCCAGTCAAGCAATCAGCTTCAGGTATCCAACTCTGCAGCCATACTCTGAAGCTTAATGTTATTCACATATTTCAGTGATTCATTAAAACAGAACTTACACTGAAAGTCTAATTAAGGCTGAAGTTCCACATTCATTTCCAGAGCAGTAAAAGGCAAGTTATGTAAACTCACAGCAAGTAATTCTTCTTTTACCAGAAGAGCAAGATAAAAGCATAAAACACATCCATAGGCAAAATAGTAAAAGAGGGGAGCAAAGGTTTTGGCAGACAGTACGTAAGAGAAGGAAGTCTAGAAAGACATTTTTATTTGCATTTCTTACATGACATTCTCTGGACTTCCCCTCCACCTGGAATACATCAGAGGGAAGTGGAGCGACCAGTGAGATGGCTACTGTATAGCCCTGAGACGACAGCAGCTCTTTTTGACCAGAAAAATTGTCTGTCTCATTCTCCTCCTCCCCAGCCTCCCTCTCTCCATACCTGGGGCTGGAATGCTCTCACTGGCACAGGTTCAGATTTCAGGCTCCCAAAGGAATCAAGCAGAGAGAGCCCACTGAGCCCAACTTCTCTCTGCACACAGCTCCCTGACTCACCCCAAAATCCTTCCTATCCAATGCCACCAAAATCTTCATCCCAACTGCTCTGACTAGATTGTGAACATCAAGGCAATGTTGAGGTGTAGCAAAGAGCAAGACAGATGCCCATGCTGAAGGGGCCAATACAACAGCACAAAAAGGATACCAGGGTGAGGGAAGAAGAAAACATTCGGGGAGGGTAGGCAACAGGGTTAGAAGATGATGCCAGTGTGAGCACTCCAAATTACAGAGGTTCTTGGAGGTGGGAGCAGGAAGCTTTGTTTTGATTCAGTACCTGATAAAAAAGGAATAGTAGAGGTGATTGCTGCAACTATCAGAATGGGCTTGAGACAGCAGAAGTGGGTATCACCCAGGCCACCAACAGAGATTGTAGCAATGACAATGTGAACTGTGTAACACATGAAGGTTTTAGTATGGGCAATGGAGAATAGTGAGATGTTTGGGATATTCTTATTTTAACTGGCATCTGGGATACTTGTGCTTATACGTGCTTAGGCTGGGTTGATTTGGAAACCCCGTGGAAAAGAAAAAGTCAAGAGAAGACCGAGATTATATGCCACAGATGTGGGAAAAGACAGAATCCTTTATGCTTTGAGATTGCTGATTTATCTAATGAAGAACACAACACTTGTCATAAAAATAATTTCAGCCAACCCCACGAGTCCCAAGAGAGGAATGGATCCTGCTTAAGAGACCTTTTGCAGACAATGGGGTAAGTATGGCAGATTGCTGCCTTACAAATCTCAGGGCAGTAGTTGGAGGTAAAATGGATTTATCCTGGGACAAAACATATTCTGAGGAACAGCTGCTAAAATTGTATCAGAACATCTCCAGTATGAAACCCTTTATTTTAGGTTATGTTTTTGCTTAGTAAGTATTTTCATCCTGAGATTTCCCCATCCTAATCTAGCAAAACACTTTTGCAGTATTTAGCTCTCTTCTGGGAGTTACTAAAATAAAGTGCATTGTTAACACAGTGTATTATTTGCTTACAAATAGAGCAACGCCAATTAAATCCTCTCCTTTAATAAGAAATTAGTAACTCTACGCTGGACCCTACCAGTGCTGCTCAGCTTATCTGAGGATACATCAGCTTCTGATTTAAAGACTTTTGTCTGGGTCTGATAAATCTTATGTCTGGTCCCAAAGCAGACACCAATTTTGTCTCTTACTGTCCACTGGTATTTATGGCCTTTCACTGTCATTCTCTATACACCCTGCTACAAACTTCTATACACCTGGTAATTTGTAATGTGGGCTCTCAGATTTCCTTTGTGGGCATTGATAAATAAATAAAACAAATATTAAAAAGGAGATACCATGATTGATTGTATTATATTTTTTAAATTAGTTTGGCCAAGAAAACCCATGCAATGTTAAAAAATACAGGTGACAAGTAAGGGTGAGAGAGAAAAAAAAACCTGCAAGAAGAGAGTGTGCCTTTATCAATGCCATATCAATTTCCTTCACCACTGCAAAGCAAGAAGCATGCTCCCCTTATGGAAAAAAAACCAGTGGATTTATAAAGGCTGAAAAAGTACCTTCATTTACCATTTCTAGAAAACCAGAACACGGCAGATTGTCACAAAAACAACCAGAAGCTGAGGGTTAGGTAAGCTGAGTGAAACTATAGAAGACGAATAACTGAGCAGGAGCTGCTGCCCAGCCGCTGACAAGGGAGCTGAGGTACAGGTGTGATATTAAATGCCTGGCTGGCTCGGACAGGGATGTTGCAAGCTCTCACTGCAGAGCCGAATGTGACCTGTGCCAGTGGCACCTCTGCAGAGTCCTTTTTGATTTTAATGGCCGTTGCTGGATTGGTGTAGCCTTATTGATAACAACGTTACAGCAAATGGAACGATATGTAATTTAAAAATGCAGCTTAGTGCCATGAGCCTCTCCACATGATAGGATGATTTGACAACTGCCCTGGCTGCTACAATATATACTCACAAATACTGCAGTGCACACAGGGTCTCATTATCAGGGAGAAATCAGCAGGACAGCCATAAAACAAATACGACTCACATAAGCACACTGCTGAGGAGACTGTCTGCAATATATGCTCTGATTAATGTCTGGCATGGCAGCAGTGCAAGTTAATGCTTTCTTGAGTCTTGGATGACGTGCTTGAAAAGATCTTTGGGAAGGTTGTGCCCACTTTTATGACTTGACTGCAAACTGAGCAACCCCCCAAATGCTGACCTTGGATTTGACTGCAGGGTAAGTGCTGGAGGAGATTGCTAATTGGGGAAGCGCCATGGATGCCTATGGCAGCTCCTTGTTTTACCACCATCTTTTGGGGTTAAATTCCTCACAGTTTCACAGGAGGGAATGAAGCATTCAGTCTTTCTAATGCCCGCTGCTGTCTGCAAGGGATAAAACAGCCTTTGAAAAAGTTTGGAAGAACTTCTGCAAATAAACTTCTCTATGACCAATGCACTTAAAATAGCTTCAATCCTGCAAGTATCAAACAGTCTCAGGCCCTGACTCTCCCTCTGAAATGCAACTGGACTATCACAGAGAAGATGCCCTATAAAAAAAAAAAAAAAAGAACATAAAAGCACTGAAATTATGTAGAAACAAACACAAAGAGGCTTCTGCCCAATGCGGTGAGAGAGAAAATGATTAAATCGCATGAAAAACCTGTTGCTACCGCTTCTGCATTTGGCCAACAAAGAGGGCTGGAGAGGCCCCGCTCGGTAAATACCTACTCTTGTTGGATCAAAGGGGTAAGAATGGAAGCGAGTCCTCGGGCTTTATGGACTTGATCCAGTTGGTTTTTCTACTAATTTCTGTGGGCTTTGGCTGGTGTCCAGACAGCAGAAACAACCAGGAGCAGGGCTAGCCTTGCCTGGCAAGTAGAAGTCCTGCCAGCACCACTGATTTTTACTGTCTCTGTCCTAAACACGGGCTTTCTGCTCAACTCTAGAAGGCTCCATAAGCTGCAAAAGGTTTATTGGAGGCCAGAAGGGTTTTAGCCAGACCCAGGAATGCACACAGCTGCACAAAGATACCCACCGTGGTTGCTCCCAACACCTTCCATCAGTCCCTGTTCACGTTCAGCCATCCTCACGTTTGGCAGCACAGTGGTTGTGATCTCTTCTGAGCACGGACACCAGCCAGAAAGTTCTATTTTGGCCAAGCAGCTCTGCCTGGCTCTGCTCCCTCGAGGAAGGACTGAAAAAGGAGCCTCCTCTGGGCTTCCTAGTAGGGGAGCCTTCAGCCTGAGAAGGGCTCAGGGGCCAGGGAGATGAAAGCAGATGGTTTGCTTACCCCACCGTGCTGTCACAAGGGCTGTCAGAAACGCAGGAGCTCTTGGAATAAAGTTTCTGGGGCAGTTCTTCCTGTTGCCTTGCTTCCAGTAATGACTTTGTGCTTGTTTACATTAGAGAGTTGTACTACCAGTATTTTATACAACCGTAGGTAAATCAGTACAACACCTGTATTGTATCCAACGTTGCCTTGGTGTGAAGCTGAGTGTAGTATTTCTGAGTCCTAAAAAAGCAAGCCAGCAATGTGCCAAATGGATACTTAGAGAAATGGGAATGCTCTTGTATTGTCTGACATTTCGAACTCACTAATGACCACAGACTTACTATGAAATTGTAATTGGTTTACTAAAAATAAGACACTGTTAGATTGCAGTATACCTAGCTCACAGCACCCAAACAGGAATTAAAACTTTGTTTCTTTTTGTAATCTTATTTTTTCTCAACTTATTTATTAAAGAGGAAAGGGCAAAATGAACAATTAATTATATAAAATAAGAGATTTCTGCCAAGTAGCATAATTCATATGAACACAAGATTCTGCCTAACATTTTCAGTGTACAAAGACAACAAAACTCCACAAGTTAACAAATCCACCAAGCAACTTCATGGAAACTGCACTTGCACTTTGGGGCAGAAATTGCTCCACTTTTGGTAGAGCCTGTAACTATCAGGCTGCGACTGTGGGATGATACAGTCTCTAAAGGGACACAGCTCCTGCTCCCGGAGCATGTCTGCCATGGTGGACAGACCTTTAACTCTTTTGCTGGAGCAGGGCATCTCCACATTCTGGGCTGGAGTTTTCCAATTCGAACTGTAGGAATGACAGTATTACCAAATACTATTACTCTGAGAAGAGCTTTGTGACGATGCAATCATTAACGCTCAAAACCACCCAAATATTCTGGCATTTGCTGCTAATGGAGTTAAATAGTTGAGGTTCGTGAGAGAAAAGTGGCGTCGGCGATGCAGACCCCGACTCCTGTGACAAAGAGCCTAAAGATAACACATCAAAGAAACAGATTAAATTAGTAACAAACATACCAATCAACAAACCTGACGTTTTAAGGTGCTAACTGTGGAAAATTACGGAAAATTGTGGAAAAAATGCCTATATATACCTAAAAAGTTGCTACCTTGCGGATATTACAATCCAGGCAAGGCAGCCTAGAGGAAGGAAAGGAAAGGAGTTTCCCCGCTGTACTTGTTGGAGGCTAAAGCACGGGCTGGAGACTCCGGCTGACACCACGCAGGGTGTGCGCAGGAGAGCTTTGAAGAGAACCCAGTGCTCCGCTCCGCTCCCTCTCCACTCCCCCGCAGCCACCAGCACTCTCACACTCATCCCTTTTTCTTTCCGAGGGCAACAAAAACCTCAGCATCGATCCGGAGCCTCCATCCATCGCTCCCTGCCTCTGCCTCCCCTCCCGGCGCTGATGCAGCCCCGGGGGCTCCGGGACAACCCACAGCGGCGACATCCCCGCCGCTTCCAAGCGGGGCCGGAGCGGCTCCGGCAGCCGCAGCTTCCCAGCGGGTTTCAGCGGCGTTTGCCGGGTCCGATCCCGGGCTGCGCTAGGAACTGCGCTGGGAACCGCGCTGGGAACCGCGGCGGGGAACCCCGCCCGCCGACCCCGCACCCTCCTCCTCACTCACTCGCGGCGCTCACTTTTGATGCGATCACGGCTAATTAAAATTTAAAATTCAAATCGACTATCGAAAAGGTCATCTTGGGAAAAAAAAAAAAATCCGCCAGCATCTGGGATTTTTCAGCTGGCGCGCAACTAAAGATAAACCCCTCGGGGCGGGGGGCAAGGGGGGGGTCGGGAGAAGGAAGCCCCGCGCCCCGTCCCCGCGGCGGGGCAGCCCCCGCGGCACGTCGGGCTGCAGCGGGGCGGGCGGGGAGTTGGGAGCGGGACGGCGGCGCTGCCAATGCAGCGGCCGGGAGGGAAGGGAGGGAGGGAGGGAGGGAGAGAGGGCGGCAGCGGCGGCGGCAGCAGGAGGAGAGGGAGGAGGAGAGGGAGGAGGAGGCGAGGGGGAGGGCGCAGGCGGCAGCGCGCACCGGCCGGCGGCGGCGGGGCTGGCCGGGGCGGCGGGGCCATTGTGTGGCACCAGACGGGGACACGGCGCTCCCTCGCGCGCCCTCAGCGCTCGCCCGCACCCGCCGCTCGCAGCAGCAGCAGCGGCGGCGGCGGCGGCGGCGGCGGCGAAAGTATCGCGAGAGCGGCCGGCGAACAACCTGCTCCCCAGCCCCGCGCCGCGCCCGCGGAGCGCCCGCGCCACCGCGCACATGCGGAGCCCGAGCGCCGCCGCCGCCCGCCGGTGAGTAACGCGGGCTGGGGGACACCCGCCGCCCCGCCAGGGGAAAGTCCTCCCCGCAAAGTTGGGTGTAAAAAGGTGGGGGGGAAGAGGCGGGGGGGGGGAGAGGGAGGGAATCCCAAAAGCGCCTCCGCGGTGCTCCCCCACCACCACCCCTTTCGCACCGGCGAAGGTCACCGCGGCGGGGTGCGGGGAGCAGCAACTTTGCGGCGGGAGGTAGGGTCCGGTTTGCGGAGCAGGGGGGTGCTGGGGGTGGTGGTTGTGGTGGTGAGAGTGTCCGTGGGGGGAGGCGGGCTCGGGGCAAGTTTGTGGGATTTAATCGCGGGCTATAAATGGGGCTGCTGGAACTTTAAAAGGCAGCAAGCTGTGGTTGGCTGGTAGCGAGATTTGGAGTAACATATGGCATTAAAAGGCGCACAGCTGGAGGTAGCATTTCCATCGCAGTGAAGTCAGAGCAGCTGACTCTCCAGCTTGCGGTGTAATTAGCAAACCGAGCACTCCTCCTTCCCCTCCCTCCCTCCTCCTCCTCCCTCCCGCCTGCCTCTCTCTCTCTCTCTCTTTCCCTGCTCTCCCCCCTCCCTCCCTCCCTCCCGCCGCGCCTCGCTCGCACTCGCACCGCGCTCCCTCCTGCCCGCCCGGCTCCGCGCCCCGCGCAAGGTAAGCGCCCGGCCGCGGCACGCAGCCGGCTGCAGCTCCAGCCCTGCCCTCCCGCCGGCCTGCCGACGCTTATTTTCCTCCTTAGCTTTTAATAACTTCAAGGGAAACTTTTTCCTCTCCCCCCTCTTTTATTCCCCCACCCCAGCCCCCCGCCCGCCCCTTTCCGCATGCGGGGGCCGCGGCCGCTCCCGCCCCGCGCCCCCCTCCCGCGGATCCGCCGCTCCAGCCGCCGCTGTTTTGTTGTGATTCGGTGCATAACGACTGAGGATAAAGTTTAAATGTGCGTGCGTCTATGTGTGTGTGTGTGTGTGTGTGTGTGCGTGATGCGGAGAATATGCTTTATTAAAAGATGCCCCAAGTTAGCGTTGCTGGGAAGACAGCCTGGGAGTTCACGGTTTTTTCTTTTTCTTTTCGGGGTGTGTGTATGTGTGCTTTCCTCCGCTTAATTTTATTAAAGTGCTTATTGGGAGAAACAAAGGTTGGAGGGGCTGCTGCTTTACTAGCTTTTGTTTACTTACAATCAAGTTTTTCCTGTTCGGAGCAGGTGCGAAAGGATGAGAAGCATGTTGTGTTGGTTTTTTTTTTTTTCCCTCCCCCCCTTAATAAAACTATTACAGACAATTAACAGTAAACGTTATCTCCAAGGCTGTTTCTTTGGCTTGGGTTACCAAAAAGCCGATCTGTTTGTTACAGCTGCTAGGAGGCTTTAGTTTACAGTAGCATTCAAGTTTTTCCTGTTTTGAACAGGTTATGAAGGAAGAATGGAGTTTCCAGACCATAGCCGCCAGTTGCTGCAGTGTCTGAGTCAGCAGCGTCACCAGGGCTTCCTGTGTGACTGTACTGTTTTAGTTGGAGAAGCTCAATTCAGAGCTCACAGAGCCGTTCTTGCCTCTTGCAGTATGTACTTCCATCTTTTCTACAGGGACCAGTTAGACAAAAGGGATATTGTGCATCTGAACAGTGACATTGTCACAGCCCCTGCCTTCAGCCTGCTGCTCGAATTCATGTACGAGGGAAAGCTGGAATTCAACAGTCTCCCGGTGGAAGATGTGCTGGCTGCAGCGAGCTACCTTCACATGTATGACATTGTGAAAGTCTGCAAGGGCAAGTTGAAAGATAAAGAATTATGTCCGGAAGAGAAGATTAATGATGAGGCGGCTAGTTTGGAGAAAGCGGAGCATTTTCTAGACGCCGGAGTGCCCCTGGTCCACGAGTTTGACCCAGGAAACAAACAAAAATTCAGCGTTGCAGAATACGAGAGAGCAGCAGGCAAAGAAAAGGTCAGCAGTCACCCCGCCTGGTCCTCTGATCATATAAGTGTCAGCTCTGTGCCGACAGAGGCAGAACCGTGCGCCGCAGCAGCTGGAAAAACAAAGGCTAATGTCAATAGTTCCACAGGACCTTTGTCCCAAAGGTCTGTTAACCATCCCCTGGCTTCGAGTGATGTGGACTGTGCGCTGGATTTGTCTTTCAAGCCCGTGCCGGGGAGAGATTCTTTACACCCCTCCTATGTCTTTGGACAGCTGGCTTCCGACAGCCAGCAGCAGGGTACCGAGCCACTTGTTAAAGATGAACAAGACTTGCTGTCAGATCAGGAGGACAGTGAAGCCAGGAGTCCAGAGAGTCAGCATTTTGGGAATTCAGCCAAAAGCCTAGTGACAGGGTTAGGACACATGTTCGCGGGGAATGGCAGCTCTCATGCCCGAGAGGAGGATATAGATCAAGAGCGAGACGAGAGCGAGGACGACATGGATTCGTCGGACATCTCCTCGGGTGTCCTCGTGCCTCCTGGGCATATCTGCATTTGTCCCCTCTGTAGCAAGGTGTTCCCGAGCCCACACATCCTTCAGCTGCACCTGAGCTCTCACTTCCGTGACAAGGACGGCTCCCGGACCCGCCTGTCCCCCGACGGGTCAGTCCCCACTTGCACCCTCTGCGGAAAGACTTTTTCTTGCATGTACACGTTAAAGAGGCACGAGAGGACTCACTCGGGGGAGAAGCCCTACACCTGCGGCCAGTGCGGAAAGAGCTTCCAGTATTCCCACAACCTCAGCCGCCACGCGGTCGTGCACACCAGGGAGAAGCCCCACGGGTGCAAGTGGTGCGAGAGACGCTTCACGCAGTCTGGGGATTTGTACAGACATATCCGCAAATTTCATTGTGGCCTTGTAAAGTCCTTGGTTGTTTGAGATGTGTGATTTTTTTTTTTTTTTTTTAAATATCCCCCCAGCCCTTTTAAAACAAAACAGGAAAAAAAGGCAGCATCTGAATTTTAATTTCCCCCCCCCCCCTTTCCTTTATTTTATTTTGGTGATATTCACTTCAGGTGTATGATCTTTAAAAGATGCAGAGGTATACACTCCAGAGGCCTTTCAATGCAATCCTTCCACCTCTCCAACTACCACCTTCCCCTGCCACCCTCCCTACCCAGCACTGTCCTTTAGGTCTTCTCTTGCGCACCCATGTTACATTATTAATGTGAAATGATCTTAAGTAATTCTGCAATGATTTAGCATCTGTTTTCACACTGGAAGTACTTTCTTTGTGGTCAGGGTTTTGTTGGTTTGGTTTTTCTTTTTTTTTTTTTTTTTTTTTAGCTTGAAGAAAGATTATCAGCAAATTGCAGAGAAAAATTTGGATTCCTTTAAGCTCCCCTAATGCTCTCTGCGTGTTGCAGAGAATCATCTGAAGAGATGAACTATGATTTAAATACATTTTGGTGTAGAGAAACTTGTCCACACTTCTCAGAGTGAGCAGACGTACTTTTATTTTCTATGGCTAGATGAGACATTAAATTGGCCCAAATTTTAAAGGGGTTGAGGATTCCTGGCTGCGTCTTTAGTATTGTTCATTTTTTATTCTCTTTATTCCATTAGTGTAGTTCCACAGTTGGTCCTAAAATCTAAATGAGAAGTTTTTGCCTCGGGACTTGACTTAAATTTTCCTCTCCCATCCATTCTTCTCACTGGGCTTGACCTACTGAAAAGCTACTTTTGAGCATAGAATGTAGATGGAAAAACTCTTTCTATCCACAGCGTATTCACTCCCAAAACGTTAAGGATGCACACTAAGACATACAAAAAAATCATACGATACGTGAATATTTTCATTCCCATATTGAAACCCAGAGGCTGATCCTGTCCCCCTTGGAGGGGACAGCAGCCCTAAAGTGGCCAAATACCCCTCCCAATATCAGGCTCCTGGGGTTTCTTAGTTCAAGCTGACTCATACCTTGTGTATTAGGAGATGCCCTGCTGTCTTGTCCAAAAAGTTTGCTGCCGTGCTAAAATAGCAGCATGAAATTATATTTTATTTTATTTTCTGTGAAGTTGGTGGATCCCTCTGAGCCAGATCGTGCAATCGCCGGTGTTTCGAAGGGGCAGCGTGAAGATGAACCGCTGGAGGGAAAGCATGGCCTAACTTTCTCCCCTGTGTCCCACCTTTTCAGGGGAAGTTTTTGGGGGTATTTTTAGGTGGAGTATTTTGTTTTAGGGGTTTTTTTTCCTCTTAGTTTGTTTGAGGCTGCCTGTAACTATAGCCCGTTTTACTCCAGATAACTCAGTTTCTTGCCTAATAGGGCATCCTTTGGTCTGTGCATGTCGGTGGATATCAGATTATTCCCTTCCAGTCAAATTACCCGTTCAAGGTACATGTACATGGGACTGAACTATAATA